GGCATTGATGGGCACTTACAGTTGGTATTGATATGCACTGACAGGTGGCGTTGATGGGGCTACACTGATCATCAGTGCCCTGGTAATCAGTGTACATGTCCCCTCTGAGGAATGACGATTACCGGCTCCCTTCTCCTCACGAGATGTCAGCGGGAGGATAGGACTGCCAATAACCAGCATTTCCTATTTATGTGATCAGCTGTGATTGGACACAGCTGATCACATGATAGAGCCGACGTCATAGGCTCTTTACAGTGATCGGTTATCTGCTGTGTCCCAGGGACACAGCGCAAAACCGATCACCACGCCGCACGCCCCTGAGCACACACATGCGTAGTTAGAGTGGGAGGACGTCATATGGCGTCCTCCCAGAACGAGAGAGCCGCCGCCCGCCCGTCCTTACCTTATATAGAGGGCGGGAGGCAGTTAATATAACAGAATTATAAATGCTTATTTAATCATAACAAAATCTTTAAAGGTTGTTTAATTATAACAAACTTATTAAAGTTAGTTTAAATATTACAAAATAATTGAAGCTTATTTAAGTATTACACATTTTTAGTGTGATAATTGTTCCTGCTTGTTTGAAATACGTTTATGGATTTTTGGCTCCAATGATAATACTGCAAGACGGAGAGCCCTTTTTTACTTCAAGCCGAGACCGGTACCAACAACGGTTGCCTCATACAACTTAAGACGTCACTCTGCGCCCCTCTTGTTTCCTCCTCTCTAGTACAGTTCTTGAATTTAGTGCAATATAAAGGAGAACATTGTCACTCAGAATATAGGAAATTCTTAGAATATTATTTTTGTTTTATTATCAATAAAACATAAAAAGTGCAAAAAATGTCCAGATTTTTCTGCGGGCCACCAAAATTTTCTCGCGGACCACCAGTGGTCCACGGACCATCGGTTGGTGACCGCTGCTGTAGGCACTATCATAGCTGGTTCACAGACTTCTCTCTCTATTTCCTTGGCTCAGTGCATCCTCCTCCAAGCAAGTCACCAGGCCCTTGTGACAACAAGGGTCATCCCCTAAGTCTCCTTCTTGGCACAGCTTCCTCCATCTATAGTTAGGACAGCTCCAAGACCACTTCAGGCCTAGGTCCATATTCAGCATTTTAAGCCCCACAAAGGCTGCAGGACCTAATAATAGAGCTCAATCCAGCAACACCTCCAAAAGCCCAGGGAAAGAGAGTGAGCATAAAGCCTGCCCCAAATACTTATATCCTCCCCATGCATGCATCAGTGACCATGAACCTCCTACTGGGCTGGCTGAAGGAAATAGAAATATTAATAACTCAGTCTTGTTATGAAGTCTCATACTACTACCAGTGGTACCAGTGACACCTACTGGCAGGAGTGAGAAATCACAACCTAACTGAGTTTAGGGAAAGACCAAGTGAAAAACTATATAATCAGTCCAGGCTAACTACCACCAAGCCAAAAACTAATTTTAGGCCAACAGCCCCTATTTAAAGTGGAGTTCTAGCCCCTGCTACCCCCCCCCCCCCCAAAAAAAAAAAATTAAAGTCAGCAGCTACAAATACTGTAGCTGCTGACTTTTAATATTAGGGCACTTACCTGTCCATACATCCAGAGGTGTCCTCACTCCAAGCCGATTCTTCAATCGGCTGTCGTGTGCTGGTGTCACCATCTTGACTAAGGGAAATGGGCGATGAAGCCTTGCAGCTTCTCCGGTGGTTCCCTACTGCACATGTGCTAAGCGCATTGTGTTTTGTGAATAGGCTGCAGTCCTCTGGGATCTTGGAAGTGTTCCAGAGAGCTGTGGAGGGGCCAAACCTCTGGCTCAGTTTGCCACGGCAAACTGAGCCAGAAAGGGGAGCGGGTGCCTGTCTAAACCAGGTACCTACTCCACCCCAAAAGGTGCCAAATGTGGCGGGGGAGGCAGAAAAGTGGAGCTTCCACTGCTGGGTGGAACTCCACTTTAAGACAGGGTGACACGCATGTCTGAGAACTTTCTTCTAACATTACTGATAGAGTTTGCTTATTGATACAGCAGGGGCTTTCTCAGCTAATAACACCCTCCTGCCTGCATACCTGAGCTAAGTGCAGATGGATTGCAGAATCATCTGCCCTTTTTTAAGATGGTCATTGCTAGAAATGCTAGGGGATGTTTTTCAAAGTGATTCTTAGCAAAATTAATCATGGACACATGGATGGATGGGAGAGTTTGCTTTGAATAGTAAAACAAGAATTAATTATTCTTTCAGTTTGTGGTGTTGAGCTGCAGTGTAGCTCTGCTTTAAGTTTTACCTCTGCTTCTTTTATTTAGTTTTACCTCTGCTTCTTTTATTTAGTTTTACCTCTGCTTCTTTTGTGGTAGCACCCAGATATGGCAGAGTTCCCCTTTAAAATCTAACACTTCTAGCAGCCTATGTTTATAAAAGCAAGGTTTATGGCTCATCTTCCCCCCTCCCTTATTTCCTGTGAGTATTATGTTGTACAGGTTCATAGCTGGTATTCTTATCTGCAGCTGCTGTCCAAGGTTATTCTGCAGAGTTTAGGAAGTCTGTTGATAGTAATAGAAAGTGAAAGAAGAAATATATGCCTTGTGACGTAACCATTGGTATATATGCTTGTAAGAAATTTTCTATAACTCAGCAGATGAGAGCATAAGCCATCTGTTGAGTCAAAACAGCGCTGTTTTTAATAAATCATTTGTATTCGTGTCCGGAGTTCTCTGGTTTGCCAAAATTACTACTACACTTTTATTTAGTTTTACCTCTGCTTCTTTACTTAGTTTTACCTCTGCTTCTTTTTATTTAGTTTTACCTCTGCTACTTATATTTAGTTTTACCTCTGCTTCTTTTATTTAGCTTTACTTCTGCTTCTTTTATTTTTAGTTTTATCTCTGCTTCTTTTATTTAGCTTTGCCTCTGCTTCTTTTATTTAGTTTTACCTCTGCTACTTTTATTTAGTTTTGCCTCTGCTTCTTTTATTTAGTTTTGCCTCTGCTTCTTTTACTAGTTTTCCTCTGCTTCTTTTACTTAGTTTTGCCTCTGCTTCTTTTACTTAGTTTTGCCTCTGCTTCTTTTACTTAGTTTTGCCTCTGCTTCTTTTATTTAGTTTTGGCTCTGCTTCTTTTCTTTTACTTAGTTTTACCACTGCTTCTTTTATATAGTTTTGGCTCTGCTTCTTTTATTTAGTTTTACCTCTGCTTCTTTTTATTTATTTTTACCTCTGCTTCTTTTATATAGTTTTGGCTCTGCTTCTTTTATTTAGTTTTACCTCTGCTTCTTTTATTTAGTTTTACCTCTGCTTCTTTTGTTTAGTTTTACCTCTGCTTCTTTTATTTAGTTGTACCTCTGCTTCTTTTATTTAGTTTTGGCTCTACTTCTTTTATTTAGTTTTACCTCTGCTTCTTTTATTTATTTTTACCTCTGCTTCTTTTTATTTATTTTTACCTCTGCTTCTTTTATTTAGTTTTACCTCTGCTTCTTTTATTTATTTTTACCTCTGCTTCTTTTTATTATTTAGTTTTTTTACCTCCTCTGCTTTTATTTAGTTTTACCTCTGCTTTTTTTATTTTAGTTTTTTTATTTAGTTTTATATTTATAGGCACATAGATGAATTTACATTTAGACACTGCAGGCAGCTGAAGATGCAAATAAAAAGGGCTCTAATCCCAGTCAGCCTTGATCTAAGAAGGTCTGCACGCTAGTTTAATTTACCTCTATGGCTCGCAGCCATTTTCTCGGCGCCTTACTAATAAGATCACATTAAACAAGTCTTCAGTAAAATGGCAGAGTCTGGAGACACATTCAGGAGGACGGACTTCGGAGTAGATTGCTTCACTTGCTGTTTGTCTGCTGATTGGCTAAGAGGTTACTATGGGAATGTATTGACGCTCCGTACCTTGCCGCCTGTGGTTGCCCTGGGTACACGCATGCGCACTGCGCTACTGAAGGGGCTTGTTGCAGCATGAAGGTAAGAAGGCCTGGGGAAGTTGGGGTACGGGGGTCGGTATATACACTGCGCTCATACCCTGTGTTCTGGAGGCTGGGCTCACACCTCCCACCGAGATGATGTGCTGTGTGTGCACAGCGACGTACAGACGGAATGTCAGCAAGCTTTGTTTACAGGTCTGATCATTGGACCCCATCTAGGGTAGGGTGGCCACTGCAGCCCTTTAATCCCGAACACATATTAATGACACCGATTCTGAGGCTGATTCCATGCAGATACGGCAGTAGGTGTGTTTAATTACCACCGTAATCGGCCCCAGAACCTGTCATTAATATGGGTTTAAAGGGATGAGGTGCCACCAGGGGCGGACTGACGACTCGTGGGGCCCCCGGGCAATAGGGGATCATGGGGCCCATGTGTCCTCGCCCACACTCAAACCAGACCCAAAAAAGCCTATGAAAGGTACTAGGGGCATCTCATGGGGCCCCTTACTGACCCCGGGTCCTTGGGCAGTGCCCGAGTTTCCCAATGGTCAGTCCTCCCCTGGGTGCCACCCTACCCCCATCCCTGCCTCAGAGCAGTGGTCCCTGGAAAGGTCATGTGATTCCTTTCCCTGGATGACAGGTCCAGTTCTCTTCACCTGATCATAGTCTGGCCATTTGGTCTAATGTTTATTCATCAGCTGCATCTCTATGTAAACAATGACGATGGGAAAACCGTATCCTAGAGCAGGGTTCCTCAGACAGTTTTCATTCATGGCACCCTTTGAATTTATGCAAAAACTTGAGGCACCCCAGTCCAAAGTGGAGTCCCCCTTCACATCAGAGTCCCCCACCGTCTTTTACATCAGGATGGTTGGCATGCAGGGCCAGTATGTAGAAGGGGATAGAAGTCTGCTTCTGTTTAGACCAGTAGTCTCCAAACTGCGGAGGGGGGGGGGCGGATGTGGCCCTTTGCTTGCCTTTATCCGTCCCTCGGGGCACTTTTCCTCCCACTGATACAAGACAGTATTTATTTCCTTCCGCCAACAATGGGGCATAATTACTGCTACTGACATCAACAGTGAGGCACTATTTCTCCCATTGACACCAACGATTGGGCACTATTCCACTGACACCATTGATGGGGCAATATTCCTCCCACTGACACCATTGATGGGGCACTATTCCTCCCACTGACACCAATGATGGGGCACTATTCCTCCCACTGACACCAATGATGGGGCACTATTTCCCACCACTGACACCAACAATAGGATACTATTCCTCCCACCGACACCAATGATGGGGCACTATTTCCCCCCCAGTGACACCAACAATAGGACACTATTCCTCAAACTGACACCAATGATGCAGCACTATTCCTCCCACTGACACAACTGGGCACTATTCCTCCTACTGACACCAACAATTTGGCACTATTCCTCCCACTTACACAATGAAAGGGCGCTATTCCTCCCCCTGATAATAAAGATGCATTGTTTAATCTCACTGATGCCGGGACAATTTCTACTCCCAATGGCAATAGTTTGGGCCCCAAAAGTCTCATGGGCAGTAAACTGGCCCTATGTTTAGAAAGTTTGGAGACTTCTGGTTTAGACCATCTCTGCCTCCCACCCACATATTGCCATGGGAGGTACTGAAGGCTCTGATGTAAACAATTTCAATGATATATTTAAAGATGAATTCCAGGAATGGCATTTTATACATAGGTACATGGTTCCAGCTTGGAACAATGTAACTATACACATACCAAACCTGTGGGATCCCTATAGAAGCTGGAAATCACTGAAGAAGAAATCTCTACACCAGTGATCTGCACTAGCTTCCATGTCCCTTGTTAAGCAGCTGGCCTGCTACATTCTGAACACAGGAAGCTGTCCTCATGGAACAAGCACTATTCAGAAAGCGCTTTGCATTTTCTCAATGAATGCATGGCATTCTCTGATTGTTCGAGATGGCGGGGTGGTGACTTCCTCTGCTGTGTCTCAGGAACAGGAAGTGAAAAGAAATCTCCCAAATTTTTCGATAAAAGAAAATACGTTTTAAACATTACTTTAACTGCTTGCTGACCATTGTACATATATGAATGTCCTGGGCAGCAAGTGGTTAAACCTAAATCATGGCCACAACTACAACCCTGATCCTGGTACTGTTTCTGTAAAAGTGATTGGGTGGCTTTACAGCAGCCCAATCGGGAGGGTGGGTTTACAGTGCTGCAGAACCCACCCTCGCAAATCCTGGATTTCCTCCCCACTTACAATGACTTCCTTGCTCCCTTTAAAACGTGTACAATGATACCTATGCACTGTCCATATTACCACACATGTTCTGAGTTTTGTGGGCTTTGCTAGGGCTTATTTTCCTCCCCCCTGCACACACCCTCCAAACCGCATAAAACAATGGGTGTAGTCCAACTTTACTTACAGTGGTAGGGTCTTAAAGGGAACAAAAAACTGGTGTTGCGTTAATATCAATAGTACTAAGGACACAATAATTCAAAGAGTGGGGAGACAGAAAAAATAACCCCAAAACAGAGGTGATAAGTATAAAGGTCTGAATCCAGACCTAATTAGGTGCAATATGAACTGTGACAAATACAAACGTGAGTAATAATCAGCAAGTGAACATAAATAATACATAAAAATGTAAAAACCTGAACCTAGACCAAACTAAGTGCAATATAGATTGTGATGCAATACAACGTGAACAATAGATAGTCACCAAGTGAACATAAATAATGCATTCAACATAATAGGACTAACACGTCCTAATTAAAAGTGCACAAAAAACACAGTGCCAAGAAAACTGGGCCAAAATCAAATGGCAAAAAATATGTGCCAAACTAATCATACAAGGTGCATGAAACTATAAATGCATCATAAATAATACATAAAAATGTAAAGGCCTGAAACCAGACCAAACTAAGTGCAATATAGATTGTGATGAAAACAACGTGCACAATAATCAAAAAGTGAACATAAATGATGTATCAACATAATAGGATTAACACGCCCTAAATAAAAGTGGCACAAAAAGCGCCATGCAAAGAAAACTGTAACAATCAAAAAACAAAGAAATATATGTGCAAAACTAATCATACAAAGTACATGAAACTATAAATGCACCTTATAATCAGGATTGATGCCAGTTAGTTTGGTCTGGGTTCAGGCCTTTACATTTTTATGTATTATTTTTGTTCACTTGCTGATTATTACTCACGTTGTCTTTGTCACAGTTCATATTGCATCCAATTAGCTCTGGACTCAGGCCTTTATACTTATCACCTCTGTTTTGGGTTTTTTTTTTCCATCTCCCCACTCTTTGAATTATTGTGTCCTTAGTACTATTGATATTAAAGCAACACCATTTTATTTGTTTTGTTTTCCTTGTGCTAGTGGTGTCTAGGTCCAGGTGTTTGCAACTTTTTTCAGTAGTCCTATCTATATCTGTAGCAGCGCAGAAGGCTTTTTTCTATTATTTTTGTTAGGATCTTAATGGGCCATTAAATACCAGATATGCATTACGTACAGAGTGCTGAGTTTGGGATGGGGGGGAGGGGTTTATACACAGAGTGCAGAGTTTAGGGGTGTGATACACACAGTGCAGAGTTCAGTGGTGCACTGTATACAGAGTGCAGAGTTCAGTGGTGCGCTGCATACAGAATGCAGAGTTCAGTGGTGCGCTGCATACAGAGTGCAGAGTTCAGTGGTGCGCTGCATACAGAGTGCAGAGTTCAGTGGTGCGCTGCATACAGAGTGCAGAGTTCAGTGGTGCGCTGCATACAGAGTGCAGAGTTCAGTGGTGCGCTGCATACAGAGTGCAGAGTTCAGTGGTGCGCTGCATACAGAGTGCAGAGTTCAGTGGTGCGCTGCATACAGAGTGCAGAGTTCAGTGGTGCGCTGCATACAGAGTGCAGAGTTCAGTGGTGCGCTGCATACAGAGTGCAGAGTTCAGGGGTGCGCTGCATACAGAGTGCAGAGTTCAGTGGGTGCGCTGCATACAGAGTGCAGAGTTCAGGGGTGCGCTACACACAGAGTGCAGATTTCAGGGGTGCGCTACACACAGAGTGCAGAGTTCAGGGGTGCGCTACACACAGAGTGCAGAGTTCAGGGGTGCGCTACACACAGAGTGCAGATTTCAGGGGTGCGCTACACACAGAGTGCAGAGTTCAGGGGCGCATTACATACAGAGTGCAGAGTTCAGGGGTACACTACAGAGTGCGGAGTTCAGGGGTGCGATACACACAGAGTGCAGAGTTCAGGGGTACACTACAGAGTGCGGAGTTCAGGGGTGCGCTACACACAGAGTGCAGAGTTCAGGGGTACACTACAGAGTGCGGAGTTCAGGGGTGCGATACACACAGAGTGCAGAGTTCAGGGGTGCATTACATACAGAGTGCAGAGTTCAGGGATGCACTACACTACAGAGTGTAGGAGTTCAGGGGTGCGATACACACAGACTGCAGAGTTCAGGGGTGCGATACACACAGAGTGCAGAGTTCAGGGATGCACTACATACAGAGTGCAGAGTTCAGGGGTGCGATACTCACAGAGTGCAGAGTTCAGGGGTGCGATACACACAGAATGCAGAGTTCAGGGATGCACTGCATACAGCGTGCAGAGTTCAGGGGTGCACTACATACAGAGTGTAGAGTTCAGGGGTGCGATACACACACAGTGCAGAGTTCAGTCCTCATCCACACCTGCTTACATCTGCATCCCCCATCAACATCTCACTTTCACCCCTCTTTAGCTCTGACCTCTGCATAAACCTCCCCCCACTGCCCTTATCTTCTCCCCCTCCCTAAAAGCGCCATCATCTTCCACATGTCTTATGCGGGCCATAGACAGTTCGAAAATCGGCCGATTTTTCGTCCAAAAGATTAATCGGCCGATTTTTGCAGTTAGTGGGTTAATTCGTCGGCCGGTTTTTTTTTTTTTTACACTTTTGGATTATCGGTCATGTTGGAAAATTTGTGGAAAATGACTGATTTTCACGTCAATGATGGCCAAATCGTACGATCTTTTTCAAAAAATTTGCGCATGAGCCGTGATCTGAAAAATTACATCATTTCCTGTTATATGTCATGATTTTTATGACTTGGTTGGCCGATTTTCGTAATAATTGGTGGTTACGTCGGTTTAATGAACGACTGATGTTTTGTTTATCGAATGAAAAAACACCCGGTTTTCGAGCCGTCTATGGCCTGCATTACTTTTGTTGCCGTATTAAGCTGAAGCACCCAGCCGGCTCTTGTACCTCCCCAATCACTGTAGGTGGCTCCTCCAATATCACTTGCAGGGAGATCATCCAGTGGGGTGTCGGCATCCACACTGCACCCCAGACATCAGCATCTCCCTTGTCCCCATCCTGCACTCAGTGGGAGGTGCTCAGGAGATCAGATCTGTGGGAGCTGTTGGGAGATAAGCTGTCATTAGTAAACAGAGAAGCCGACTTCTGTGTTTACAAGTGATAGTGGTGAGCAGGGAGCACTAAAAACAAGCAGTCTAGTCTTTGATTGTTCCTTTTTTTTTTGTGTGTGTGTGCTCTGATATATTTTGGTTACATTTTGTTTTGTAAAAAAAGAATCTTAAAAAAAATGTTGCTGTTACTTTTAATGGTGACAATATTTTGAGGGTTAGGTTTTTGTTAATTTGATATGAAACTTTGAGTCCTGATCTTTTAGATGGATTCTTTGATCTGTACATATTTTGTAAAATAGATTTTCAAAGAATTGTGTTTGTGTTTTCCAGCGGGTATTTTCTTTGACTGAAAAAGGCTTGATTGGACATCCCATTCAGTATGTCTGGCAGAAGACATTAGGAAATTACATTGTGGTTACAGGGTAAGCATATCATTTTCATACAACTGCCTGGCTTTAATGTGCTAAGGGTAGTGACCCAGACAAGCCATCAGAAGTTGACGTTCACTGAGATCTGTTTGGATACTATACATACATACGTGCAGATTGTTGGTGTTTGTTCTGCATGACAGCATGTCCAAGTTTATCTTTTATTAGGAAATAAAGGAGAAACTATAGAAGCTGTGGTGCATTTGATTTAACTTTTATAAATAGTTATTTTGCATATGTAGTTTTATTAATTGTGCAGGCTGGAGTTTCTATAAAAAAGTCAAACACCTAGAACTACAATCTACTATCATTGCTTGGAGAGACGGAGGGGACGGCACAATTAGTTGACACATTCAGTTTACTGACTAAAAAGAAATTTGAAAAGTCAAAACTTTTAATAATATAATAAATAATATAGGGAAATTCTATTCATTCATATTAAATGGTAACTCCGAGCAAACAGCTAAACACATGATTAATATATATATATATATATATATATATATAGGAGCTTTTTTTTTATATGCCAAAGGTTTGTTATATTTGCCCAGAGAGTCCTGAGAGACTGAGAAATCTGAGTGAAGTCTAATGCAGGCCATAGATGGGGAGAAAACCGGCCTATTTTTCTTTAAAAAAACGAAAAATCGGTCGTTCAAAAGCGGCCGACGTTACCAGGAACAGTAAAAAAATTGGCCGATTTTCATCCCGTCTACAGCCGGCAAAAAGTGTCCCTGCAGAGAGCTCCGCTTTTTCTTTGACAGCTCTTTGACATTTATAGCG